TTTTCCCAATTCCTTAGATTCAATTTTAAGTGGCCTGTCTTCAGAGTTGCCGATGATGAGATAGGAACGTGGGTCAGTGGTGGAACACCTGCCTAACGACAGAAGCCTTAGACTTAATCCCCAGAACTGAAAAAGTTGCTGATTCTTAATTCTTAATGTTGACCACTTCTAGCTCTGATATTGTTTTTTTATGTACTGTTTTCTGATTACTCTTGACTGACATTCGTTGTTCTTTGAACACTCTTGAAACTCTTGATTTAAAATCTGTTGTCACTCACCACTCACCCCCAGCCTTTTTTTTTTTTTTTTTTGAGGCAGGGTTCTCCGTGTATCCCTGCCTGTCTGGGAACTTGCTCTGTAGACCCGGTTGACCTCATACTCAGAGATCTGCCTTTCTCTGGCTCTCCAGTGCTGGGATTAGAGGTGTTTGCCACCACTGCCTGGATAGAATCTGTTTCTTTAGAGATTGTCTTAGCACAGTCAGCTTTCTGCTCTGTGTGCACTTGTATTCAAGTGCACACGCTCATCCATACATACCCACACACATAATTCTGCTCTGTGTGCACTTGTATTCAAGTGCACACGCTCATCCATACATACCCACACACATAATTCTGCTCTGTGTGCACTTGTATTCAAGTGCACACGCTCATCCATACATACCCACACACATAATTCTGCTCTGTGTGCACTTGTATTCAAGTGCACATGCTCATCCATACATACCCACACACATAATTCTGCTCTGTGTGCACTTGTATTCAAGTGCACATGCTCATCCATACATACCCACACACATAATTCTGCTCTGTGTGCACTTGTATTCAAGTGCACACGCTCATCCATACATACCCACACACATAATTCTGCTCTGTGTGCACTTGTATTCAAGTGCACACGCTCATCCATACATACCCACACACATAATTACAAAATAATAAAAATAAATCTTTACAATTTGTTGTTTGCTTGAAAAACAAACAGTTCAAGTTGCTTTGTCTAAAGCAGACCCCCATCATAGCAAGGCATGTTTTGAGTCTTCAGATCAAGCTGCTGTGGAGGGTTAGTGTCTTCTGGTCTCTCCTTACTATCTTTCCTTTGTGTATATTTTCTCAATTCCTCTGTGTTTTGCTTGCCTTTCATGTGTGTGTACATTTGTAGATATTATGGGGGATACAGGCATACACAGGACTGGCATTTTTTCATGGGTGCTGGGCATTGAATTCAGGTCCTTATGTTTAAGGGACAGACACTTCACCAGTCTCAGAAGATAGCTTCTCCTGTAGCCTAGATTGGCCTAGAATTCCTGATTGACTTGCCTTCATTTCCCAAATATTGGAGTTAGAAGTGTTTCTATCATGCCAAGCTGGAGTTACATATTCCTCTGGCCATAACCTCATGTCCAGTTATGTACCTATCTTTAGTTCCTTTCTAGCTTTGTTCGTTGTTTCCCATGGTTTTCTCCCCAACTTGTTTGTCCCTGAGTGAACTCTTAAATTAGGAGAAAGACCTATCAGCAGCTTCCCAAAAAACTAGAAGGTTGCAAATAAGATCTGTTCCCACAATTGAAGAGCAGGTTTTGACAACTGGACTTTTGCTCCTAAGTATGGCTTGCTGCCTTGAGGGTGGTGGGAAAGCCAGTAAAAAAGTATTTTTACTGTTGTGTGCCTTCTACTTGCTATGAATTGGTAACTTCATTCTTCATCCAATATGAGAAAATTCTAGCTGTTACTTAAATGCGGAATTGTTGGTAACAATTTATTAACTTTTGAAGCCTTTCCCTCCTTTTTTTTCCAATTGGATACTTACTGATTTATCTTCTTCACACTGAGTGATGTCTTAATGTGGGCCCCAATACCCTGTTAAAATCATCTAGTTATATATTTTTTACAGTTATTGTACTCAGCTGTTTGTTTTATTTTGTTTCAGTCTTAAGTTCCTGCCCCACAAATAAGACTCATGACCTTGTCTTGATTCACTGCCTTTTTTCTCCCTTGGCTACTTGTTATATAGTTCCTTGCCTTTTCTATGCCTAATAAGTTATGTAGTAGTTGCTGAATTGTAGAGATTCTGGACACTGCTGGTTTTTGCTTTAGTGGGACATAAGAATGGAGTTCTTGTATGACACAGCAGTCTTTTCTGTTCTGTTAGCTTTCAGATACTATTGTTATTGGGCTTCTAGGAATTCAGACGGTCAGTCAAGAATTTGGTCAGAGTAGATTCTCAGTTGGGTTTCTCTCCTGTGACTTTTTCCCAGTTCTTCCAATTTACAGGTACTTGGCCAGCCCTAGCCAGTATTCACTTGAAGCATCTGGTCACTGACTGTTGGTTTATTGCCATCCTGTAATGCGTGGATTGCAAGTTAACCATGCAGAAGTCTAACAGATCTCACTCAGTGCTGTTTTTGTTTATAGTGACTTTTCTCTTTCAGGAGAAATTTTGAAGCTTTAAAATTTTTTTTTATTTAGCTTCTCTAGGAACATGAATTATAGGCTCAATGTCCTTTATTTATGGCTAGAAACCAAATATGAGTGAGTACATCCCATGTTCCTCTTTTTGGGTCTGGCTTACCTCACTCAGTATAGTGTTTTCTATTTCCATCCATTTGTATGCAAAATTCAAGAAGTCCTTGTTTTTTACTGCTGAGTAATACTCTAATATGTATATATTCCATACTTTCTTCATCCAATCTTCCGTTGAAGGGCATCTAGGTTGTTTCCAGGTTCTGGCTATTACAAACAATGCTGCCATGAACATAGTTGAGCATATACTTTTGTTGTATGATAGGGCCTCTCTTGGGTATATGATCCTAGAGAAGCTAAATAAGGTGAATCCAAAGACAAACACATAGGCATCCTCAGGAATATTAACCTTCATCAGGCGATGAAAGGAGACAGAGACAGAGACCCACACGGGAGCACCAGACAGAAATCTCAAGGTCCAAATCAGGAGCAGAAGGAGACGGAGCACGAGCAAGGAACTCAGGACCACGAGGGGTGCACCCACACACTGAGACAATGGGGATGTTCTATTGGGATCTCACCAAGGCCAGCTGGCCTAGGTCTGAAAAAGCATGGGGTAAATCCGGACTAGCTGAACATAGCGGACAATGAGGAATACTGAGAATTCAAGAACAATTGCAGTGGGTTTTTGATCCTACTGCACGTACTGGCTTTGTGGGAGCCTAGGCAGTTTGAATGCTCACCTTACGAGACCTGGATAGAGGTGGGCAGTCCTTAGGCTTCCCACAGGTCAGGGAACCCTGATTGCTCTTCGAGCAGATGAGGGGGGGGGGGACTTGATCGGGGGAGGGGGAGGGAAATGGGAAGCAGTTGTGGGGACGAGGCAGAAATCCTTAATAAATAAATAAATTAAAAAAAAATGGTTGAGGTGGACTGTTTGCAAAAGGTAACTTTATAAAAAAAAATTTTTATTGAGTATCTGATATGTATAATTGTGATAGGTTTGGTCTCCATAGGTATAAGCCAGAACTCTCTTAGCTTCTAATAACATATTTGAATTTTTATTTTCCAAATGTCTATAGCTAGTAGATCTTTATACCCTCCTCTCAAAGAAACCTGTTGTGTCAACTCTGTTATCAGGTGTTCATTTTCCTTCTTGTTTCTCTGTAAACCATGTGTCAAATTGCGAATTCTACATTTTAGTTTCAGGCCATAATTTTTAAATTCTCTTTGATCTAAAGATGGGATTATATGTTCAAAAATTCTTTCAGCCTATATTTGTTGTCAGTGGAAACTTATTCAGATGTTTTTTGAGAGGGGCCATTTGTATGAGTGTGTATGTGTGTTCGGGTATGTGTGTATTTACATGTTCTATAATGGACAATTTTATAATGTACAAGAATTCTTATGCATGGTAGCTCATACTTATGATCCCAGCACATGAGAAGCTGAGCCAGGAGAATTGCTGCAAATTTGAGACCAGCCTTTAACTACACAGTGAAGTTTAGACTAGCCTGAACTAGAGTAAGATATTTTTAAAAAAATCATGATACCAAAAAGTTTTAATATTTAAAAAGTGGTAAATTATTTTATTGAAATTAAAGTCTGTTGCTTTGCAATGTGCATTAAGACCAGCAGCAGCTCGTGAGCCTTTAAACATGTGGAAGTGATGGATAAAAGGAGATGAACGTGTGGAGAGAAGAGAGGACTTTTTTGAAAAACCGCCCTGGCTTTATGATATTTAATGTGAAGACTCACTTTGAGGTCATTCATATTTGGTTTTGGAATCCAGCTGTGGGTCTCACTAAGTCTGTACCCTTAGTCAATTTGTAATAATGTGGAGTCTAAATAAATAATAAACCATATGTGTCACATTTCCTTATTTGTAGAGTAAGGATGATGCTCTTTCCTAACTTTACCCTCTGGCTCTTTTCCTAAGAGTAAGGAGCAATCCTACATGTGGAAACACCTTGAGGTGAAGGACTGTTCATTATTCCACCTGCTCGCTATGACTGAGTAGGTGATCCTCTGAAAATGGTTTAAGTATTATGGATTGCTTAAATGAAAAGGGGTATTTTGTTCCCATTACGTTAATAGTGGACCATTAAAGACTGAAAGGCTCATAAAAATGCTGAGTTGTGTGTATTACAAATGGAAGGGTTTAGGGGACAGACCTACATACTGCTTATGATCTACATAAGATTAATTTGTACATTTCTGTTGTATCTAACCCAGGAGACCTTCTTCAGCTTCCATAAACAATTGTTCAAAACACTGACTTAATTTGGTCATGGAAAGAAACAACTTTGCAATTAGACTGATGGAAAACAATCTGAAGTCTGTTCTTTAACATAGGAATGTATTGCAAGAGGAAATCTGGGGAAGGAGAGGAGGTAGGAAGGCAGAGGACATAGGCAGTGGGTCGAGCTTCTTGTCTGATCAGGCAGAGACAGATGTGATTAGTTGAAGATGTCAATTGAGCCAAGTATAGTGGAGTGAAGCTGCCTGAGTCAGCGCAAGAAGTGGAGGCGCAGGCTTCTAGATCTTGTTGCAGAGAGGTTCATTCCGACAGCACATAATTTCCACTCTTGTTCTGTGAGTGTAGAGGTTCATAGATGGGCACATGTTCTCACACCCTTGAACCATGAACTGGAGTTTTCCACCTGAAAGAAGAATCAGACTGGCTTTAACAGAAAGCTGTTTTCTTCCAGCCTTATCCTTTATCCACAGTCCTGTGTTCCCATACAGTGATGACTAGGACTTATGTGTGTAGTTTCCTGTTCCCTGCTTTTTGTCTGCTTTATCAGCTGCCCATTCCTCTTGTTTATATCTTCATTCTCTTCCTCTCATTGTAACGTTTTACCAAGCTCATTATTTTCTCTTGACCATGCTACTCTGCTGCCATTATCCTTTTGCTGCAAACTTCTAGCGAGCTGGCTAGCCTCAACTTCTCATTCACCTCTGAACCCCAGGTACTCAGAATTTAAACTTTGCTTTCAAAGATGCAGTAGAAAAATTCTCTAGCCATTTCCCATGCCTTCCCCCCTACCATTTCTGCATGAACTTGATACTCCTTTCTTGACCTTCCTCTGGCAAGGTTTCCCCTAATTTTCTGTCTTCTATTTTCTGAGTCCAGTTATCTCTACTGACCCAAGTCAGGTCCTCTTTCCACTTAAGTCATGATCATCTCCGTGCAGATAATACAGCTAAAATTGACCTGTCCCAAATGGAACTCTGCCATCCTCCCTGTACCTATTGCTTTCCTGATTAACCTTACTTGGCCTTTGAGAGTCTTGGATAATTTTGCTTTGGCCAATCAGCGTTTCTCAATTTATTTTCTTCTACCTCTTGACTTGCCAAATCCCAAAGAACTGTTGTGTTTCCTGTCTACATCCTGTATTTCTGATTTGACTTGGTGTTCGTTTTTAGCCTGTCTCTGCAGAATGACCCAATCAGTAGTTCTCTTCATTTCTGGTATTTCATTGGTTCAAAGTGAACATTAAAATTTTTATTTAGTATTGTTAACATTGTGTGTGTGTGGCCGTGTGCTTATGAAGCTCAGAAGACAACTTGTAAGAATTGGTCTTCTGCCATGTGGGTTACTGTGATATAATTCAGGTCCTAGGTAGGCTTATTGGGCAAGCACCTGTACTTACTGAGCCGTCTTGTGGGTTCAGAGCATTTGGAGTTTAAAAGCTGCTCAGGTGATTCTAATGTGTAGCCAAAACTGGGTAGTGGATTTTACATTTTTTATTTTTTTTAAAAAAGACCCTCTCCTCTCCAGACTTACCTGTTTTCCTTTACCTTCTACCACTCTGTGCTTTGCCCCCTTTCATTTCTTTAAACATGGTTTTGCTATATAGCCCAGGCTGGTCTTTTGAACTTAATTCTCCTACCTTAGTCCCTCAAGTACTGAGAAAAGACACACATCATCTTGCCACTTTTCTCTGTAATATGTTAAGACCACAGTCTTTCTGTACACTTGTTTTTGATGCATCCTTCTGAAAGGCTTGCTTGGGATCTTTGGTGTTGATGTTTATTCAGTGATGGTTAACTGTACAATTATAGAACATAGGGAGACTATTTCTTTCAATGGATTGGACAAACCAGAGCCAGGCAGTCCGGTTCATGGAATGGAAGTAACCAAGATCCCTTGTTTTGGAGATGAATCCTAAGTATAAGGTTTGAGAGATGTGAGAATATATACTCAGCTTTGTTAGCCTGTGTACATTGGTCTGTAGACAGTTGTTGAATAGTTTAGTGTCTACATTGTGCTGTGTCCTAGGAATATATAGTCATGAACAAACTGAACAGTTCTGACTGTAGTCAGTATAGAGAAGTAGCTTAAGGAACAACTTAAAGGTTTCTTTATTTTGAAGAAAGCCTTTTCTCAGTTTCCCTTTTTTCTTTTTCCTCCCTCAAGAGTCTTACACTCATCAGTACCTAGAATTCTGCTCAGTCCTTGAAGGAATGAGTCTTCTGAACTCCCAAGTTCATTGATCCCTATTGCTCCCTCCCCCCAACGCCACCCCATTTTTATTTAAAAGATAATTGCTGTGCTTTCTGGTAGTTTTATCCCTACTACCTTCAAAGATCTTCTTTATCATGCACTGCTGGGAATTTTGAGTGGTGCATATTCCTTCTCCATGAAGACATTTTCCATCATCATTCATATAGGAACATGTGTGGCAATTTATTGCTACGCCTGAAATTTGAAAAAAAAGCCTATGAAATTTCCCGACAGACCACTTAGTTGAGTCACATATATAGGGAGTGGGGGTTGCAAAAAGTACACATATTTCTTAGTTCTTTTGGGCAGTACTGGGGATTGAACCTCTATTGCCTTATAAAAGTGCTCTGCCACTGAGCTATAACCCCAGTCTTTCTCCCCCTATTAACTCCGCCCTCTCCTTTTGGTTATTGGAGACAAAGTCTTGCTAAATTGCCCAGTGATGAGATTACAAGTGTGGACTACCAGGTTCCCTTTCTGAGTAAGAAGAAATACTTTTACTTTGTAAACTTGTTACTGATGAATACTAAATTTATCTGAGTGACTTTTACTTTATAATCCCGTTGGCTTCTTGAATTTATTGGCTTCTTAAATTATAATGCCTTTCTATCATGTTTTACTTCATAAAAGAAAACTAAGTAACTGAATGTCATACTCTCCTGCATCCCAAGACAAACACACTTGCAGCCAATTTAACTAGTAAGTAAGCCATACTAGAATACTAGAATGTTGCCAGCCCTGTAGAGTGCATTTTCTTCCCCTCCCTCCCTCCCTTCTTCCCTCCTTCCTTCCCCCTCCTTACCTCTCTTCTTCTTTCTCCTTCCCTTTTCTCCCTCCCTCCCTCCCTCCTTTCCTTCCTTTGATATGTGTATTTGAGACAGAGTTTGAGTATTTAGCCCAGTCTGACCTCAACCTCAGCTTCAAAAGTACTGAAATGAGACATGAACCATTGGGCACAGTTTGTATTTTCAGACTTATCTTGGTCAGTGACAACATTCTGAAATGCTCTGTGTCCTTATACTACCTCTAGTGCTAAGTCCCTAGCAAAAAGCATAAAGAAGCAGAGCAAAGAAAGAGCAGGAGCTTTAAGCAGACCTAAGGTTAACTTACTACTTTCTCGAAATGTGACTGACATTGGGATAATAGTTTCACCTTACTTTACGCATCTAAAATTTTAGAGTAATTAACATAATTGGGTGAAATGAAATATTTGTATTGAATAGTAATTTGAGACATCAAACTTTAGATTTTTCTTATGTTTCTACTGTGAATGGGGCATATATGGAGGTCGGAGGTCAATTGGGAATCAGTTTTCCATAATATGGGCCTTGGCTATTGATTGAACTCAGATTGCCAAACTTGGTCATAAATGTCACCACTGAGCCATCTTGCTGATCATAAGTTCTTATGAACTATGGGGTTGGAGAGTCCAGTAGCATTTTATATTGGTGATATTTTTCTTTAAAGTTCTCTAGGAATTGGAGAGATGGCTCAGCGGTTAGGAGCCCTGGCTGCTCTTCCAGAGGTCCTGAGTTCAGTTCCCAACAACCACATGGTGACTCACAACAATCTGTAATAAGATCTGATGCCCTCTTCTGGCCTGCAGGCAGAACACTGTATACTTAATAAATAAATAATTTTTTTTTTTTTAAAAAGGTTCTCCAAATTGTGTTACATTTAAGGCCTCATGGAACCTGGAGAATGCTCCTTGATACTGTGAAGAAGCAGAGTCTTTGACAGAGCCGTTTGTGATATATTAATGATTCTTTTACACTGCTTCTCTAAAACTGAGTTCCTTACATGTTCCCCCTCACCACCTCTTTTTCTTCTGTACTGGAGATGGTGTTGATCAGTTAGTTGCCTAGGCTTTTGTTGAACTATGTAGCCCGGGTTGGCCTCAACCTCTAGTCTAAGACGAATACCGTTCCATTGTGACTTACCTGAAGATGAGCTTGGAAATGGTGTGCTCATACCCTGTTCGTTCTTATCACCTGAAGTTGCCTCGGCAGCCGACTGTTCACCCACCTCTTCAGTCTTTTCTCCTGAAACTTGTTCAGCTGAAGACACTTCTGAAGCCTGTTCGCTTGACTGTTCTGAACCTTCGCTTGAAGTGTGCTCGCCCGAAGTGTGCTCTCCTGTAATATGCTCGCTTGACATGTGCTCACCTGAAACATGTTCTGAAGACTGTTCTCCCGAACTGTGCTCACTTGAAACATGTTCGCCTGTAGAATGCTCACTTGATTCATGTTCGCTTGAACTATGATTGATCAGAGTTTTCTCACCTGAGGGGGTTTCGTATAGAGATTCGGCATCTGACGGGTTTGTGAGTGAGAAATACTCACTTGAAAGTTGCTGGACAGAAGCTTGGCGGTCTACAGACTCAAAAAGCTCATTAGGCTGACCTGGTGGTGCTCCTAGGAGGGAGAAGAGAGGAGAGCGGGATCAAGACTGATTTCCTGTGGAGCCAGACGAAAGGGATGTTTTCTGGGGAGTCTAGATGAGACACTTAAAGATAGTTTAGATGTTGGAGCAAACCATCTAATTACTCCAGGATATCAGGAAAGACAAAAGTGTTTAAATAAAAGTTTGGAGACCACTTCTGAGACTTAAAGACGCAAGAAGTGCATGTGGGATTCTCTCACCTAAGCATGACAAACACAAAGGGAAGTGAATGTCGCTACCGAACAGAACCTGAATCAGAAATCATCCCTCCCTCATGGCCTCAGTAGTCAGCCAACAACCCTTCCTCCGGTTCCTCTATGCTGAAAGACAAGGAAACCAGAAACAGGGAGGGAGAGAGAGAAGGCAAATAGTTCATCTACTCCACAACCGGGTCTGGGTGTGAGATCCTGGCTGGCTTCATACTGCAGAAATTTTCTTGCTTCCTCTTCTCGAGTGCTGGAGTTAGAGGTGCCACAACTGCCCTGCATAGGTAGCTTTCAGTACCGAGTAATTCCATCCTAAATTGAGGTTAGGTCCTTTTCTGGTGCTCGTGATAGGACGCAAGAGTTTCACTCAACAGTAGAAAACTTTAAACTTTGGGTAGGGTAAACTTTAAACTAGAAAGTTTAAAGCACAAAGTTAATCTACCAAGATTACCGGATGGGATTTGAGTTATACTGGTAAAGTGCCATCTCAGCAGTCGTAAATGCTGAAGGAAGCAGAAGCACGTTAGGCCAGTGGGCCCGTTTACCCGTACATCTGTAGCTAGGAGAGATCAGTCCTCAGAAACTGTTCTTGTTTAGTTAACTCTTGATTCCAAGTCAGGTTGATTTGGGTAACTAAGACTGGTCTTTCTTGGGGAAAAAAAAGCCCCCTTCGCTATCCACCCAGGATTTGTGTTTAAAAAGAACTCTTACCTTTAGCAAATCCAAGCAGATAAAGACTCAGGAGGATTAATTTCTTCATTTTGATTGAGGAAAAGAGAGCTCTCTAGTGTGACACACTCAAGAGCTGAGAAGAAACTGAGCAGACACTCCCAATGTTGAATCAACCAGAACCTCTGGGAGTTCTAGAATTGAAGAAACAACCTGCGTGTCCTCACAATGGGTGTGACTTAAGTTAATGTTGAGGGAGACTGGAAAGTAACCATGGCGATGCTACTAGTGCAGGAAGGGCAATGAGTATTTTCTCTGTGTAGGATGGTGTTAGGGGCAGCTTCAAACACACACACACAAATGTTTAAAAGGTAGTACTTTTTTTTTGAGGGTTGTCCATTGTGTACTGTAGTGACCTGGTTAATTTCACTTTGTCTAAGTAAACATTTCATGGCTCTGGGCTGTACTCTGGAAGACTGATCTCCACTGAGATTAGCTGGGTACAGTGCCATAGGCTGAGAGTTTCCACATCAAAGGTCTTCAGGGGTATCCTTTCTCCCATGACCCCAACTTTGACTAGGTCATAGTAACACGTTTTTGCTCTTCCTACTTCAGTTTAGGGATAATAGTGATTTCCAGCTTCTAAAGTCTACATACCCCAACTTTCCTTTGTAAATTTTCTGTGATATCATGCACTTCTGAGAATAGTCTTTGCAAATGTACTTGTAAAGGTGTGATTTATAGGAATCACACGGGCAATTCAAATGGTAAGAACTTAGAAGAGTATAATGATCAAGGGATGCTTAAGTTGACCTGTGACTTTATCTAGGGGCTAGCCAGGCTGAATAGATGTGAAGAGACATCGGTTTGCTATAAAACTACAACTCAGGGTGGTGAGATCCTCTAACCACCATTCCATGCCCTTCCCTGTCCCACTTTTTGGAGCCACTCTGTTCCATGTACCCCTGAATGTTGGGCCTATAATTAGGTCCATTTCTGTTATAATTGTTTCTTTCCCACATTGGACTTTAAGTTCTCTGTAAGTAGGAACCCTCACCATTGTAGTCTTAGTACCCAGCAGCATATTGGTTACATACTAGGTATATAATAAATTTTGAGTGAAAGAATGAATACCTTAGCTTTTCTGGATCTTCCTCTGCTTCATAGAGGAGAATCTACAAAGAACTAGATAGGCCAGTTTATAACCTGGATCATCTGAAGAAAATGGTCCTTCTGGGGTCAAACCATTTTGAAGGTAAATCAAGGAGGCATGTTCTATCTCATCATCTGTCTTTGTTCCAACTCCCTAGAAGTAACAAGCTATGGAGAGTTCAGCTAAGTGGTAATTTGTGGCGGACCTCTCGACCGGCGACGAAGAATGACCACCACATCAGGATTCCACTCAGAACACGCTTTTACTGGAGTGCCCTTGATTGATGGGGAGCAGGGAACGAGAGGGCGGGAAAACGAGGGACAGGGAGCGAAGGGGCAGGGAGCGAGGGGAGAGGCAGCAGGAAGCGAAGGGGCAGGGAGTGAAGCGAAGGGACCGGGGGCACTTAGGCAGCCGCTTAAATAGGGAATTGGCACACGGGTCGCCCTGTGATTGGCTGCCACCAACAGCTGACACCAGACCGCATCGGGATAGGCTCAAGGATCCTCATCCACCGTGCATGCGGGAAGCGGGGACGCGCAGCTCTCAAAGCCATAGCCAAATATGGAGTTGTTTATTTCCAACAAGACAGGATGTCGGCGCCGTCTTGTAATGGCGATCCTGTCCGGCTCACTACAGTAATTTAGGCTAAGTATGCCCTACCTTGCTTGAGTTGGAAGTCCAAATTAGGATTTTTGAGCTTCAGACTAGATTCCTTTAGAGAAAGTGTGAAAGAACGTATCAGTAGCTCCATTACTTCATGGGGAATAGGCTACTTTTATTGATAGAAACTGTAGAAATTAGTGAAAGGTGCTATTAGTACTACCCACCAGTTTATGATTGCCAGCACCTGCTCTTTGGTAGTTATCTGCATCTTCTAGAACATCCTTACTTAATACTGAGAATTCAAGAACAATTGCAGTGGGTTTTTGATCCTACTGCACGTACTGGCTTTGTGGGAGCCTAGGCAGTTTGAATGCTCACCTTATGAGACCTGGATAGAGGTGGGCAGTCCTTGGGCTTCCCACAGGTCAGGGAACCCTGATTGCTCTTCGAGCAGATGAGGGGGGGGGACTTGATCGGGGGAGGGGGAGGGAAATGGGAAGCGGTTGTGGGGACGAGGCAGAAATCCTTAATAAATAAATAAATTAAAAAAAAACCAAAAATAAATGACATACTTCCAACATAAAAAAAAAAAAAAAAGAACATCCTTACTTGTCCCTTTCCTGCCTCTTAAGGTCAGCTTCACAGCACCAATGTCAGTGTCCTTCAGATTGGTTTTCCCTAGCCTCCACCTTTCATACTTTCTCCCTGTGCCTAGCAGTCTGGTGTTTTAAAACCAAACCTCTGAGCATGTAGGCACACCACATATAAGGGAAGACACATCATGGTGAAACTTAGACATCTAGAGGTGGTGCAGTTCCTGACTCTTTCCATCACCAGCCCCGTTTCATACAGATAGGCTGATGTTCTAGTTTCTAAAGCCTCTAAATGGATGAAAAAAGTCAGCTATTTTTTTGTAGTGATAGTTTGTAGCTTCCCTCTTTTGTCACCAACACCATGCTCAGCTCACATTCCCATCTTTCTCCTTTCCCCTTGAGAACAATCGCTTTTTTCTCAGAACATTTTTTTTTATTTATTGCTGCTGCCAAAAGTGTTTACAAAACTAAATTTACTTATGTGTAAGAGTGTTTTGCCAGTCAGGTGTGGTGGGACACACCTTCAATCCCAATGCTTGGGAGGGAGAGGCAGGCAGATAGATCTCTGTGAGATCGAGGCCAGCCTGGTCTATAAAGTGAGTTCCAGGACTGGAACAGAACCTTGGCAAAGAGCTTGCAGTAATTTTTTGGGAGAGATTAATAACAAATATTCCAAAGCAGGAGACTTCGGTTTATAAAGAGAACTAATTGGATCCAGGCTGTAAAGAACCCATTGGCTGGATACCTTATTAATAACTCTTAGATCTGCCACTAGTGTTTATTTTCCAGATTTCTTTTTAGTGACAATATATAGGAGAATTCCAAGGACTGGCCGATTCTTCAGTATGTTGAACATTTAGCTACTTCTGTACCAGGTGTTCTAATACCTGTAATTTTGTATGGGGAAAACCATACAAAATTCTGTACTGTATAATGTATTCTATAGTACATTCTATACTGATGCAAACAAATCAGGAAAGTCAGGTTTTAAGTCAGGACATTTAAGTAAAATGGCTCAAAGCCCTGATGATTCTGTTCAGAAGCCAGAGTTATATACTACTACTTGTGGTATTATTAGATTTTCTAGAACCTCTTAGTATGGTTTCTGACTCTCAATATGAAGAAAAAGTCCTTTTACATACTGAAACCGCTAAATTCATTCCAGATGATTCAGAATTAACTTATTCAACTACAAGTAATCAGAAATAGAAATTATTCCTTCCCATATGGGTCTTCTAGCACAAAGTAATGATGAGATTGATCAGACATTGGTTGGAAATGTACTAGAAGCCTCAGAATTTAATAAGTAACATCATGTTACACAGAGAAACCCTGTTTCTTAAAACAAGAATCCAAAGTGTACTTTGTAGTTGAAAGTGAGGCTGCTACTCCTTCCCACTGGTTGATCTGACAGGAAACAGACCACAGCTTGCACTACTCTTGAAGGAGAAACAGATAAATGTATGCTCATAATTATTCATACAGACGGGCATGTGATAAGTATCTGAAGGGGCGAATAGATATTGATACTTGATTTACTCTGTATTGTGGATTAGCTATAGTTTATTTTTATTGTGTTTTTGTTTTTCAGTATTTTTGAGATACTGTCTGATTATACAGCCCAAGAAGGCCTCAAGCTCACTTCTCTCTTGCTGACGCCACTCCAGACATCAATATGTTATCAACCTTAGGAAGGGAAGAGCAGACTGGATATACATTTATTAGTGTTTTGAAGCTACATTTATTCATTATTTTTTTCTGGCCTTGAGGTTAAAGCCCAGAGCCTTGAGCATGCTAACAAGTGGCGGACCGTCTGAGCTTCAAGCTCCTCAGCTCTACCGTGTGACACGTGAAAGGAATGAGAGCCAACAGCTTTAGCATGTACAAGGGAAAATCTCTGTGCTTGGGGATTGGCGACACATCAAGCAGATGTACACTGTAGCTAATCAGAATATGTGGGTTGCTACAAATAAAAATGCTGCTCAAAAGTATGACTTCTTGGCCTATCCACCGGACCCAAATAACTGTTTTAGGTATTCCCAACCCCCCTTTTCCTTAAAAGAGGTATGTCATTTGGTGAAGGGTCTAGTGCACGGAGCACAAGGTATAGGGTTAGGAGCAATATAAGACGTATTGACATCTGGAGGATTGCATATATTTTTTTTATTGAAAAAATGATTGCATATATTTTAATACTGAATCGGGGCAATTCCAGTTTCTTTCCTTCCCAACTTCTTGAATACTCGTGGGCTGGCCCTACCAACACATACCTTTTGAGAAATTGAGTTGTTCCAGAGGAAAAATCCTTTAGAATTTGGCATTTGACTAAATTCCAGTTTAGTAACTGCTTGTTAGCCTGGTGTGAAGCCTGACCATCACCCGCCCTGCCCCCAGTGGCTCTTCAGAGCAAGTATCCAGTGGGAACACATGGTTGAGAACCACCACACAGTTAAGAACAGTCTCCAACATGAAAGAATCCAAAACACAGAAACTGTATCACAAACAGGTGAAAAGGTCTTCAAATACTATGTTCTTAGTATGATTTCTTTCTTTATTTTGTTGAGAAAAAATTTCTGCCTCCTCCCGCCTCCCATTTCCCTCTCCTCCCCCCACTCCTCTCCCCCTCCCCCTACTCCATTCCTCCTCCCTCTCCAGTCTGAAGAGCAGTCCGGATTCCCTGCCCTGTGGGAAGTCCAAGGTCTGTAACGGCGTAAATGAATGCAGACAGAGTGTAAAAATATA